TCTAAATTAGGGAAATCTTCTAACATGATCATTTACATTAAACAAGTAAACTGTACCAGATTCTACAAACCAAATATATTTTTGTGCATTAATATCATTTTTAGACAATGCTTGTTTTTTAACTAAATGTATGAAAAAAATTTGTGTTTTGAAAACCACATTCCTTTGAGATGAGGCCTGTGTGTCTTTGTCCCAAATTTCTAATATATTTTAATTTAATATAATAATAACCTCCTTGAACATAGAAAGCATGATTGTACTATTTGCATCTTATCCTTAACTCCCACCTGTGGTTGTAAAAATAAGTATTTGAACACACACACACACACACACACACACACTCACACTCACACTCACATTTATCAAGTTCAGTGTGAATCACCTGCCCTTTATAATCCTGGGAAAACCAAGACAAATTTTACTAGATTTCTCCAAATACATAGACAGCTATTTCAACTAACTAAATGCAGGAAGAAGCACATATGAGGACATTTTCTTCCTTTGTGTGTGTGTGTGTGTGTGTGTGTGTGTGTGTGTGTGTGTGTGTTGCATTGGAAATGGAAACTAGTGAAGGGCTCTACCACTGAGCTACACCTTCATTCCAACAAAGGTTTATTTCTTTTTTGATTGCTGTCTCCCAGCCATCCTGCTAATAAAAAATATCAGTCTTCAGAAAAAGCATTTTAGGCTGGCCAGATAGCTCAGCAGATTAAAGTGCCTGCTTAAGCAGGCACAGGGATCAGGGTTCGATCTCCAGTGTGCCGTGCGGACCCCAACCCTGGGGTGCACTAAGACGAAGCTTAGGACTAGGTGTGGTAGCACACGCCTGTAATTCCAGCACTTAGGAGGCTGAGAATAGGAGGATTGCTATGAATCCGATCTGTGTAGTGAGACCCTACAGGGTCACTACAGACCCTGTACTATTAAATACATCTAAAAAAAAGAAAAAGAATTTTAGTGTCATTTTTGTTTGCCAATAAACTACACAAGTAAAACCTATAAAGAACAACTTTTCCCTGACCCTAATACTGCCATAAGCACCCAGATATCATAGCCAGATCTTTTAAAAACCCAAATTTCCCCTTAAAATTGACCTTACAAAAGGTCTAGTCACATTTTAAGAGCAACTTGATGAATCTTAATCTAATATTATGGCCACTGCTCAACAGTGTTAGTTGAACTGATTCTAACCTGTGGATACTTTAATAAATTTATCTCTAGTGACCTATAATAATAGCAAAAGAAGCAAACACTAACTGAACACAAATTTGAATCAATTACTGTTAAACACTTTAATCCCAGTAAAGCCTCATAAGAACTGACACTGGAGTACTAATGAGCCCCATTTTACAGGGGAAAATGCAGAAACTGGTTTATATAATTTGTCCACAATCATAGAACCATTAATTAGGATTCCAGCAAGTCAGTCAGACTCTGCCTCCTTCATTCACTCCATACTACTCATAGAATTATTAGATCTTAAGAAAAAAAAGTATTTGTTTGCTTAATTAAATATTTCCCATTTTTAGAACTTAGCTAGATAAGAAATTCAAACATTCGGTCTCGCCAAGGGACGCTATGTTCAATGACTGCTAAAACAAGCAGGAAAACTTTGCACTTCAGTTTGTAATCTGAAGCTAGTATTGGAAAATAAAAATATCATCATTTATTCATTCAAAGGTAGATCATTCTATCCCCAATATTTAAGATGAATTTCCTCTCATATTCTATTTCAAATCTACTTTGGATGACTGGGCGTGTTGGTGCATGCCTAAAATCCCAGCTCTTGTAAGGCTATAAACAGGCAGATCATTACAAATCTGATCTAGTAGTGCCACCCTGAACACCCTGTAGACCCTTCCCTAAAAAAATACCAAAAAAAAATCTACTTTAGATTCTCATATCTATAATTAACAACAAGATTACAGTAAACTCAACCATCTAGAAAACTGACATACCCTAATCTGATTATTTTCCAAACCACTTGAAATTGTAACAAATTTATTACCTAATTTTTTAATCTGGTCCATAAAAGGTAAATACATGGAATTTACCTTTGGAATTCGCCCTGCCATGGAATCCGCCAACTGTGGACTAAAACCTCTACAAACTGTGAGCTGAATAACCCTTTCCTCCTTTAGTTTTGAGTCTCAAGTATTTGTCTCAGCAATAATAAAAGTAACTAAGACAGAACCCATGATCTGAGATCAAACATTTTATCTTTACTGCTAACCATCCTTAAAATTAGGCCACAGTGGGATCCAATACATACAGAGAGTTTTCACCTATGAGACTCCTAAATTTGTTTGTTTGTTTGTTTGTTTGTTTCATTCTTTGAGATCAAGTAAAATCTCTTGCACAGGAAATCCACCTGCAATAATGTAACAGTGTCTATGGCAGCTGCTGGGTGTCAGTAGAGCAGCCAGCCCAGGCGGCCGTCCACACTGCGGTGCACAGTGGGCTCCATAGAGCTGAGCTAAAGGGCGCAGCTCCATCGACAACAGCGGACACAACCGCTGAGCCCCTAGCGCATCCCTGCCCCATAGACGGGGACTGAAGCTCAGAGGCACTGACCAGTCCACACTCACAGTTTGAAATCAGATGGATTTAAACTTTCATCTTACTCTGAAGATTAGTCCTTTTCTGCTAGTCCAGGCCATCTCTTGCAGTGTTTCCCAAAATCTAGGCACTCTAGATGTAAAGGTGTGGCAGGAAAGAAATCATTTTCTGTGAATAATGATGAGACAAAAGCAAGCACAATTGATTTAGGACAGTGTTTGGATTAAAGGTGAATATTTAGGGGTTTTTTTATTTCCTTTCACCATGCTGTAGAAGATGCTGTAGTGTTCTTTAAGTAAGACTGTCATTTTTCAATTTGGGAAATTCTATAAGCTTCCCATGTCATTACCACCCCCCCCCCCACATGCTGAGTCAAAAGAGACACAACCATTTCTCTGGATCATGCCTTAGTCTCTGCGTATGTAGAAGCACCTCCTGAGGAGTTCTTTCGGGCAGCATCATTTAAATTTTGTAATGTAAAACTCTCTTTGATGATGTGCTGATTTCACTCACTTTAGATCACCATATTTGAGTCTTTTCATGATTTAACATGACATTATGCACAGCTCTGCTTGAAGAAAAAAAATATAAACTCCACCATACTATGGCGTGAGTTGGATTTTACTAAAGCATACTTGCTAACATTAAAATTTAGGTTTAAGTTCTGATTGTCATCAATAATGCTCATGCTTTTATCATTGGGGGAGAGTTGATTTGCCCAAAGCACAACATGGGGGCAGACAGATTCAAATCAAGATGTAAAAACTTCCTGCTCTTGACATACTCATTTTACTTGAAATTCCCTAGCATGTTCTTTGTCCAATGGCTCAGGACCTATTGGCTGCTAAAGGTGCAGGCAGGGTATTAACATTCCCTAGGGAGAACTGAGGAAGTTAATCCAGTCACAAAGGTTAGCATCAAGCAGGCAGAGACGGGAGCAGCTAAGCATCCTGCGGTGTCGAAGGAAGTAAGCAACACTGGTAGGCAGAACAGGCAGGCTACAGAGGCTGCACCCCATCATCTGGATACTGCAGGCGTGCTGGAGCAAAGAGAGAGAATCACCTCGCCCAGGGCTGGGAGGAGACTTTTTAAATACGTGATTACCACTAATTACCTCGCTTGATTCTTTAGGAAAGTGTGGAAGATGGCCGAGCCAGTATCTACAAATCTGTCATCACCAACACCAGCAAAGAAATGTCCTGCTTCAGCGACTTTCCAATGCCTGAAGATTTTCCAAACTTCCTGCACAACTCAAAACTTTTGGAATATTTCAGAATTTTTGCCAAGAAGTTTGATCTTCTAAGATATATTCAGTTTCAGGTATTGTGCTTAGGGGGAATCGATTTTTCTCTATTAATCCAGTTCCTATTTAAACAAAAAAGCTTCTCTGATGAGGAAAACATAATGAATACACTATCCCACTCCAATTTTTTGTCAAAATGTATGGACATGACTAACTTTCAAAAGTAGTAGAATTATAGATTGTTTACAATAACCAGCTGGGGTTTTTTGTTTGTTTTGTTTTGTTTTATTTTGTTTTGTTTTGTAGCAGGCATTGAACACAAAGCTGTTAATTTTTAATGACTGATAATATTGATGGTAAAACTACATTTAAACTAATATTACATATTGCCACTGGGCTTTTCTAGCCTCATTTCTCTTGTGATAATATATGGAAAAAATCAAATTGCTGATTTTTTTTAAACTTCTCTGTTGAAATGAGGTTCCTTAGATATGTGTTAAACTCTCTCTACTCTCCTTTCATTTCTGAAAGCTTTGGAAATAATTTTTGCTAATTCTTTTTCCTGGATGCAATCTCTAGGAACACTAAGATGGTTGGATCATCTTGAAAAATATTTGGAATTATTTGTTCTTGTGCTTTCTCAAAATCAAATAATCCAGAACAAAATCCACAACATTTTCTTCAAACATGTTGCATTTTTACTAGTACTACATAGAAAATAAATTTTAAATTACATTCTGGGTAAATAACTGTTACTGGCATTTATTTTTTAATGCATCTCATTTTGTTAGTAACTCTAGTTTTTATGTACCAGGCTTATGTCATATTTATGCATAATAGTTTATTTTGATGGAAGTCTACATCTATAAATATATTAAAATGGGGCTGGGGAGATGGCTCAGTGGAATAAGTACTTCCCTGGCAAGCACAAGGGCCTGAGTTCAATCCCCGGTTCCGCAAAAAATAAATTAATTAATTAATTAATCAATTAATTAAAATGTCCAACTTTACTTAATGTAGCCTCCTCCTCCCATTTTTTGGTATATCCATACTACAAATAACAGATTTTTTAATATTAGAAATTTTTATCATCTTTGTCCACAAAAAGCTATAAATTTATTTAAGAAACATTCTGCTGTCTTCTGAGATGTAACTAATTTGTTCTTCTAAGATTATGTTCAAAATGCAAAGGAGGGCCAGCCAAATAGCTCAGCAGATTAAAGAGCCTGCAGGCAGGCACAGGGGATGGGGGTTTGATCCCCTGGCCTGCCGTGCCAGGCCCACCCCCGGGCGCTCTGAGATGGCATTTGAGACTGGGCATGGTGGCGTGTGCCTGTAATCCCAGCTGTTGGGAGGCTGTAAATAGGCAGATCACTACGAGTCCTATCTAGTAATGAGACCCTGAAGACCCTATAGAGCCTTCCCTAAAATACAGGAAAAAAAATTTTTTTAAAGAAAATAAAGAGGAAAGGTTTGATTCTGGCCACAATCTCAAAAGTTTCAGTCCACAATTTATTGGCCCCACTGCCATTGGGCCTGTGGACAGGCAGCCACATAGCATGACCACGGCAGGTAACATGGGCTGGGCAGTGCTGCTCATCTCGTGGTGCCTGGGAAGCAAAGACAGAGGAATGGCCTGAGACCCCACCTTCCCCCTTCAAGGCTATGCCCAGTGACCCAGCTTCCTCCCGCTGGGCCCCCCCAACAGATTGCATGGCATTCCAGTAGTGCCGTGGCCTGGGGAAGCCCAGCCTTCCACACGTGAGCCTTTGGGAAACGCTGTTTCAAAGCATGATACATACACAGGAGATTCAAAGATCTGCAGTC